CAAGATACGTTGCCGTTGACGACGGTTGAGCGGCACAGAATCTGCAGTCCACCGGCCGGTAGGAATCACCCGGGCCAACAGCTCGTCAGGAACTTCGGGCCACATTTCTCGCAGTTCATTCAACCATTTCCAAACCATCGGTGCCAGATCACCGGGATTTCCAGCCTTCAATGCCGAGACTCGCTTGGTCATCTCCTCCTCATTGGCCTCCAGCTCCGAGATGAGACGTTGAGCCAGCGAAATCTCCACAGTGGGGCATCCTGCTTCTAATTCCACCTCAATCCTCACACCGTGCGGGTCAACAAGCTCAAAGGCCTCATTCTCCCATTTGACACGATAGCCAAGCCGCACCACCTTCCCAAGAGGAACAATGATCTGGGTGTCAAAATCGGTGATGAGGGTGCCCGCGCTCGTGACTTGCCTGAGGGTGGTCACCCCAGCTGCCAGCTCCACCTTGATAGGGATTGCCTTGTCATACTCAGCCTTGGACCGAGCCGGGCGCAGGACGTGAGTGGCCCCACCATCAAGCAAAGCCCTTGATGCCCCCCTTACCGGAGTGACGGAGCTCATGGAAAGTGCCTTAACCGAAGGCCTCAGAGACTTCAGCAATTGTACCGCCTCCTTCACCAAATCCTCCGACGGCTGCATAGGCGGTGGATGAAACCCCGATGCTGACGACGACTCCCCTGACTGGTTCACGACAGGCTCATGGATCTCCTTGCCCTTGACGTCCTCCAGGATCTCCTTCTTGACCTTGGGAACCTCCTTCACCGGGCAATCCGGTTTGAGATGCTGACTTGACCCGCAGCTCCAGCATCGCCCTTGCTTCGACACCCCCTTCCACTCATGAGGAAAAGAGCATTTCTGCCCCTTCTTGCATCCAGCGTCGGAGATGAAGTAGCGGCACACAGGCTTGTCTCCCTGACTTGCCTTTGGGTCATTTTTGTTACTCTTTGGATCGAACTTGCCGTTCTTGGAGTCCTTGAAGTCCTTGGAGATCTTTCCATCACCTGCGTCACGAGGCTTATCTTTGGCGTCCTTGGGCTTAGAGACCTCCTCCTTGGAGATACCTCCATCACCATCCAAGGCCCGAATCTTCACGGCGTCCTTCACCGGCACGCAGGCGCTTCCATGGAAGGTCGCTTCTCCTTCGGCCAAAAGGGATTCGGCAAACTGCTGAATGCCATGGTCAGTAGGTGCCACATCTATCCTCAACGCTGCCCTGGTAACTTGCAGTCGAAACTCAACCTGCGTCGAGTGCTTTGCCAGACCAGCAGCGAAGCGATCCAAAGTGGCCAACAAAAGAACAGGATCTGGCGGCTGAATCCCAAGCTCCTGCACCCGAGTGAGCCACCGTCTCCAGGCCCTCAAAGAGCTCAGCCATTCCCCCAACTGCGGAGGAACCTTTTGTTCGACCAGCTGTTTCAACAAGGTCGTCCTTTCTCCCAAGCCACCCGGTTGATAGACCCTTAGGATCTTGTAGACGATGCAAACGGAGCTAACCTCACGCTGGGACACCAGTTCAGATCGGATGGACTCCGGGATTGCCTTCAAGAGAGCCACTGAACCTCGCTGCTCGATTCGAAGCCAAGGAGCACGATGAAAAGCCGGTGGACTCACAGCTACCAGCCTCAAGCGCTCCATAGGTTCCGAGTTCAGCCAAACCCGATACAGGTTCCCTGCAACATTTAGGACTTCATCCCACCACATAGATGAACTGGAGCTCATGTCCCTCAAAAACGGTCCAATCGTGGTCAACCAGTCACCAGCAATGAGAGGGCCAATTTCCGACTCCGACAGTTCTTGGAGAGATGGCAACTCAACAGCGCGAACCGACTCCTGTTGGGCCATCAGGCCTCCAAGCCACGCCGGAAAGCCAGCAAAAGGCTGCCCAGGATCACCACCGCCAGGACCGCCACCGCCAGGAAAGCCAGGATTACCCCCTCCAGGAAAACCGGGATTGCCACCTCCAGGAAAACCGGGATTGCCACCACCACCTGGACGTCCACCCCCTGGCCAACCACCGCCAGGAAAGCCTCCAGGAGGTCCACCGGGAAATCCGCCTCCAGGAAAACCATCAGGGAAGCCGCCGCCACCGGGAGGAGGATCTCCACCAGGAAAGCCACCACCACCAAACGGGCCCTGTCGGAGCGACATAACCCGAGTTGCTAGCCCCAGAACCACCACCTTGTGCAGGACGACCATTGTCTTGACGTGACCGACCCCCTTGAGAACCTCCACCGGGCTGTCCACCACCACTGGAAGGATCACCCGAACGATTTCCCCCTGGCGGGTCACCCTGCTCACATGGCCCCTGATTTCCAGGAGCTGAATCCCCACGGCCGGGTAGTTGAGAACCTCGATCTTGTCCCGGATGTCGAACCCCTCCAAGAGTGCCACCCTGGGAACCCCCATTCTCAAAGTCTTTGCTAACGGTCCCCTTAAACATGGATTGAACCGAGCCACCAGCCGCCGAGACACGATTAAAGACCTCCATAAGGCTAGTCCTGGGTCCCCCAGGGAGCTGATGTTGGTCTCCTGAATCGCTGCGAGAATCTGGAAGGCCAAGTTGCTGGTACCCTCTTCGCCCTCCATCACCCATCAGCGGGCCCAGTAAGCCCCCATCCGCCGGCCGCGACGGAGACGAGACGCCCATCTTCATGGCCTCAAACATCGACCCCATCAAACCCATGGCCCAAGGAGGTGGCTGCATCCATTGCTGCCCATGTCCATTCCAGCGGCTATCCATAGGATTTCCCATGAAAGCCTCCCGCTCACTCCACAAACGAGCATTCTCAGAGATCAGTCCTTGGAGCATGGCACGGAAAGCCTCTGGTCCCTCTCTTGGCGGGCTAACCCCTGTCGGCTCACCAGGAAGCAACTCAGGCGACTCCTGTTGGATCTGTGGCAAGTCGGCAGGGCGGATCGCGCGCAAAATCGCTTCGTCCCGCATGCCCTCCGACCAAAAAGGATTCCAGTTCGAGGGGCCTAGCACCGTGGGTGGTCCAGCAGGCCTCATGACCCCATCACTGGGTCTCACATCCTCAATTGCTCTCACCCCCGACTCCGGGGTCTTCTCCGAGGTAGCCTCTTCGCTCATGGCGGTCAAAGAAAAAAAGAACCCTGCCGTTTATGGCGTTGGGCTCATAACCCTCACGGGCACAAATCCGCTTTGCTTTCTTTTGATCAACAAAAAGGGCTTCAAAGTAAACGTGGTCGTGTCATGACCATCAAGCAAACTTCACAAACGTGCTTCATTTCTGCTTTTATATTTTTTTTTGACATGTCCACACAAATCCCTTCTTCTTGAAGCCGAGCTTGACATTAGTTGTGGGGAAGGACAAAAACACGGAGATCTGCCTTCGACCACAGCAGGGCTTCCTGCAGTCGGCTGCGGGGTTTGCGCTTTGCCACCAGGTCCTGCGCGACGCGGCGATGAGAACCGTGTGATGAACCCGTCTGAGTCTGAGTCTCTGCTCAATGGTCGACTGATGAACCAAGAAAATCCCACCATGACTCAAAGGTATTGGACACCATGTCTATTACTTTGGAGATTTGGAGACCAATATATTTTTGTCGATCTCTCGTCTCTGTGTCTGACCACCTGGTGATGCAACAACGGATCTCTGTGTCTCGAACACTGCTTGATTGAACTTCTGTTTTCCTTTCGCTCCTGGAGAGACGGTGATGCAGGCGACGCAGGCATGTCGGATGAGACACGTGTCACTTCGAGCTGCACGTCCTGGTCGTAAAGCTGCACGAAACACGACGTGCTATCTTTGCGCCCCCGCTCTTTCTGGGGTTGACCGTGGGTCCTTCCCCAAACGTTGCGACCAGTACATCTCCTTGGAGAAGACGGAACACTTCAGTTTGAGCACAGGAGCTAACTCAGAACATGCTCCAACACTTTCCACTCAGCAAAAGTTATGGACTCGATAGACTTGGCGGTGATAGTTACTGCCAGTTACTAGTTACTGCCAGCTCTTGCTATCAATAGCTTTTATCAGCTGCCACCTACTAGGCTGGCACTCCCAGCTGCTGATCTATCATCCCTGCCTCTTGGATCTGTGGCAGCTTGAGAACGCGGCGACCCATCACGATGATGTCTTCTTTGGGGGCCCTTTTGGCCGCAAATCCACGGGAAAGGTCCAGGGTTCCCACCAGTGCCCAGTTCAATCAGCATCAATCTGACATAGATAGATTAGGTGGACGTATAAGAAACAATAAATTCAGAATGTATTACATAATATATAGTTATGTAGAACATCATTAGATATTTTTATTAGATATGTAATTACTATCGCTTCATCTCGATTTCATGAACATGAGTGGTACTTGAGGTTTAACCGTCTTGTTCATGAGTTTCCTCGAGCCAAGAACAAGCGGCAGCCCTGATGATGGTCGTAAGGTGAGTGGCAGGCCTTAAATGCACTAATTTCACGCAGCAAATGAAACGGCCTAGCAAATGAGAATACCTGGCTTCAAAGGATCCTTCCAATACCTGTGCGCTGTGCAGCATTTTACGGTGTCGGTTTCTTGCGTACGAACAGGTGTCATCCTTACATACTCGTCCTTCAGACTATAGTGCATTGGATGGTCAGCATGGTCTAATTACTTTTTGTGTGGAAAGTTGTGCATAATCTATCTATATATATATGTCATTATATAGTTGTCATGAGTCATGTTGTATCTCTTGACATTCAGAACTTTGGTTGCTCCTTTGCACATGAGTCTGAAAATTTGTTCCTGCCACTGGATATCCTCCCATCGTGCCAAAGAAAAAGGTTGACTGGAAAGTACTGACTGCTTGACCTGGAACCACGGCCAGGAGAGTGCAAACGAAAACAACATGCACTGATCGCGCGCCAACTTCATGCGAAGACCAACCAACATCAGAGATCAGGATCCAAATTGATACTGGAAAATACTCCATGACTGCTTCATCATCCGTATGATTGATAATATATTTTTCTGATTTGCCTGATTGTTCTCCAAGCTGCAAAATGCTTGATCCCCAGCAACTTGAAGCGGTCCAAGCGATCCTGAGTCATTAACTGGCTGGAGTTTGTCTTCTCACTTGACTGTACTCTTCCACTGATCCAGGTTCAAGCTTCTAGTACCCTTCCGCTATGGACTTCATGCTAAGACTTTGACACTACATTCTGTTCAATGTGCTACTATGCAAATGTATTGGAGCAGTTAACAAACTATACTTGGATGCAAAGCTGCTCAGCTTGTTTTGGTTGGTAGAGCTAGTAGCATACACTCTTGACAAGGCTTGGCCACTGGCATCAGCACCAAAAGATCCTTCACAATTTAGGTCCCTCTATTATCCTCCAGAAATTGATTGAGGGGTTGAGGGGATTCGGAATGAGACTCACGGGAAATCCGGACCTGCCCCGACATTCAGTGGCCACCCATCGATCCGGATGCACATCTCTATCTCAGCAAAGATGCCATGCCCTGCTGAAACTTCGTGCCCGTGGCACCTGGGTTTGACCGGAAGAAGACTCCAAAAGCGAGGCAACTGAACACACAGTGGAGGGCTGACGTCTAAACAAAAACCGATGAAAAGCAACGGGCAAAACACATAAAATCAAACAACACGTTGAAAAACCCAAATGACAAGCAACACTGTAGAAATCCATGTGTGTGTGCGCTAGAAAGTTTACCCATGGTTGGCTGCTATTAAAAATAAAGAACATCGCTTGGCGTTTTCGAGTGCAGCTGCACTGTAAATGATACAGCCTGTCTTTGCACATTGAGAGCCCGCCTCCCACGCGTGAAGGCGGCCGGAAATCACCTGATCAAAACAGGACTAATTCAGGGCATGTGAGAATCGCTCTAACAAAAATGTTTTTGCACCATATCAATGGGTCCATTTCCTGTGCCGGGTCAACAGCCAAAAGTGAGGGTGCTTTTACTTCTGTTTTCGGCTTGACCACTGACGAGGAACCCCCCCTTGGCCAAGCTCTTTCTGGAGTTGCTACCAAGGGCCACTAGCGATGGCCTCCACCCTACTAGCTATGGCCTCCACCCTGCTAGCTCACCTAGAAACATGTGAAAGATATGACGATGAGATACCTGCGAATGGTGAAGTTCGACGCCAAAAGTATTTGCTCTGTCGAGCATCCGGACCAGCAGCAAACCCATTCCTTTAGAGTCGAGACTATATTTCACCAGGCCTCGGCCTCAGACCGAATCTTTACTCTTGCTATTCTAAGCCCGAATGTCAATGCACAATCTAGCTCTGAGACAAAGTCCTGGGACGCTGGTGGGCCCCCACCCACGCACACACAAAGACTTGCGCAACGAGTCCGGCGCCACCCAACGGCCCTTCCCTTTCAGGGTATCGGGGTGTTTGGTATGTATGATCAAACAACTTACATTATATAAGTACGGACATACAACCCTGACAAATGGATCCCTGTGAATTACAACAAACACAAAAGGATACCACAAGGAAACACAAACCAACCAAAGGGGAAACGAGGGAACCGAAGGACCACCCAGGGACTGCATCAAACAATATATAGTTTACGAGGAATTCCACATATTGTATATATATATAGTTTACTACCCTGCACTGCTTGAATCAGGAAATTTGGATTTCATTTAATGTAGTTTATATAACACTGATTGTTATTAAAATATATAATTTAAATGATATTAAACGCATCTCAAACGACGGCGATATGTACACGTTTGCTCGTAATTATTAAGGTCCTCTGAGATATCAAAGAAACATGGGATGTGCATACAGTGAGTGTCAGGAATGGCGAATCTGGGTGGAACGACCAAGAATGACACTTGTGCGCCGTATATCCTTGAAGTGTCCTACTAAATCTGTCTTGCTGTGGCACAATTGGACGAAATGAGAGACCCGTGGTATGAGTGCGCCAAAACCAAGGCGTGTCAACGGTGTTGTATTGTTCTGAACCAACCGGGGATACAGGGGCTATTAGAGCTCTTGAGAGAAATCGGTAGCGCACCGGAACCTGGAGGGAGTGTGTGTGGGTGTATGTATGTATTGTATGGGCATGGGTATTGGTATTGTTGTATTGTATATATATATATTGTATATATACTATTGTATAATTCAAAGTGTATTTTTTCAGGTATTGTGCATGCTGTATTGTATTGCACTGTATTGTATTGCACTGTATTGTATATTGTATGTATGCAATGTATGTGTTGACGCAAACTACGCTTACAAACTGGTTGTGCTTGTAATGCGGATGTGTAGGCAAAGGGCAACATATGCATCGTCTAGTTCCCAACCACGCTGGTAAGAACGTATCAATAAACACAATAAACTGATAACGAGTTCATACCAGGTTATCCCGAGATCCTGTCAGGAAACGTTATAGTCGAGAGGGATATCTAACCACTGTAGGATGGCCGTGGACGGCTGGTAATTATGGCTGGGCCGGCATGGAATTTGAAAAGGACATCAAGTTCCTATAAATTGCTCCCTGCGCAAGGGCAGCAGGGCCCGTGCATATCTGCTTATCTTGCTTGTAGATCATTAGCAGTTCATGGCATTATTGTGAGTCAAACATGGCGATGATTTGCATTGTCGGCTTATATGCCACTGTACAGTACCAAAGATCCAAGCCTAAAAACGAACAAACACCAGCTACGCACGTCCACTTTCCAGGCTTTGACCCACTCTGACAGGCAAGTTTATCAGGCAAAACGAGCCACATCAGTGCCTGAACCTTCCTTGAGTACAGAAGAACAGTGTCAGAAACAAAGAGCGCTACAACGGCTCAAAAAGTGCTATAAATCTAAACGTGAAAAACCACGCACAGGATTTTGAGGAACCTTGTCTTCTCAGGCCATAGGAGCCAAAGAGCACACAGCAAACATAAAACATATTATTAGGACGTCCTTCCTGGCTGCTTAATATGGAACCAGGTGAACAAGGACTCCCGCCGTTTGTAAGACTAATGCTAGGCTCATGCCAAATTGTCCCCTCTCTGTCTCTATGAGCGGTTGAACTTTCGACAATTCCCTCACATGGAACAAAGCCACTGCCGCAAGCAAGCGGAAAAAGAAGGCATCCCGAAAGTTATAAAGGAATAGCCTGCCACTGTTTTAATTTGCGTCCATTTTGCGAAACTTGCGCGCAACGTGTGGGCATCAGTCTGGGGATGCTGCGCTCGAAAAATGAACCTATGCAAATGCAATGTATCTTTGGGATAATAATACATATGTATATATATATTGTTAATCTTTCCCTGAGATATTGTGAGAAACCCTGTTCTCCTACCGACAAGCGACCACGCCTTTCTTCCAAGTGTCTAAGCCTCCCACCCACCCTTTCGTGGGTTTGAACAACCAAGGAGCCGTTGCGAGACCGTCCGTTCCAAACTAGCGAGTTTGACACAGGTTAAAATCTTCTTTTCTCATGAAACACGGTCTCGCCGATCCATGGAAACATTGTTCTCCGATGTGCCGTCGTTCCCGTCCAATAGTCCCTCTCTCCTGTACCCCCTTCACGGAAAGTGTCCCGGTAAGATTCAAGTCCCCCCAACTCAACAGGACAGTCCATTGACCCCACAGGAGTAAACAGCTGGAACCTAGGAACCACATGCACTCGGATTACTTCTCCATGGTCTCCTCTTCGCCAAAAATCGCTTCCATGCTTGTACTTGCCGGATTCATTCACCATCATGGCTATTTCATCTTTCGGTGGATCATTCTCAGGTCGGTGTTGTTTCACCCACTTGAGTCGTTCCCTGGCACTCAGCCTGTCTTTCAACAAAAAAGTTTCATCTCTCAAGGCATATCGACCAGTACGTAAGCACTCCCTCAACACACTGCTGTCCATGGTTTTCGTGAGACAGTCAGCTAGCATGGCCTGGGAACTAACCCATCGTACCACAGCATTGTTCCGGAGCCTCTCTCTTATGAGTAAGCACTCGATCGTCGTTCGATGTTCAGAGCATTGTGGAACAGCGGTACGTGTCAACAAGTCAAAGGCCGACTTACAGTCCGTTACTAGAGCACCAGGGTTCTCCTCAGTCAACATCTTCTCGGGCTCCTTCCAATTGCACTCTGGGTTCAACAGTGTAGCCCAAAGCACTCTCAACCACAAAAGACGATCAGCGGAATTGCTCAGCGCTGCGGCTTCGGCTCCTAAAGTACTTCGCACGACCCTTGGGATCTTCTTTGAGTACCAAGCCACTGGAGCAACAACAGCTTTCTGATTTTCCAACATCTCTGGTGTCGTAACAAACACTATTGTTCCTTGATGCGCAGTAGTGTGCTTGGTGCATGAAAATGAGGCATCTGAGAATGCACAGAAGGTCACCTGTTTTGGATTGATCGGGAGTACCATCAAGGACACCCTGTTCTGCTTTGCCTCTGCAAGAACCTTGTTCCCCAAAATCAAATGCTTCACACGTGCTCTTGTGACCTCACTCTGCAATTCCCCAATTTTAGCTGCTAAGTCAGGGCGACTGTGAACAGCTGCGTACTGAAGAGCTCCAATGAGACTTCTGAAACTGGTTCTTTCCTCTTCAGTCACTAGGGATTCCGAGTCGTCACGTCTCCCCTTTCCTAGCGCAATTGGTGGTATCTTCTCAACGTACTCAATTTGGTCATACTCAATTGAAAAGTCATCCCACTGTCTAAAACGGATCCCCGTGTACGTAAAGTCCCCAGTCTCAAAAGCTCCAAACTTAAATCGAGCCTCCACTTTCTTCAACATGTTCATGAACTTGGGACTTCCACCACCGATCCCGTCATCAACATGAATACCTAAACACCCTTCAAGAACACCATCAACATGATATGTAAAAACGCAAGGATCGAGTGGTGACTGTTTACATCCCTGTTGGAGGAGTTCATCCCGAAATTCACAGAACCACAAATATGGTGCGTCGATTCGACCATATGCTCCACCATCAAGCTGAACCTGGTCTGTCTCTCCCATCTCCAATGCATCTCGCATTTCTGGTGTCGGGATGAGGCCAAGAGGTCTGCCATCCCCTTTTCCGTGGAGGAAAGCAGTTGAAATATCAAATGAAATCAACGGCCACTGATGGCTTGCAACTCCTTGTAGCACAACCATACGGCCGTCTTTTGAAAGGGTTGGTGCATCATTTACTACCTCATCTATGTTGGGATCTTCATATCCAATCACTATCAGACGGGCCTTGGCTTTCTTGCCATCTTTGGAGAGCTCTGAGGGATCTTCACTCCCATTGGGACTTTTCCACACAAAAAGCCACCTGCAGCGCATTATAGCGTGTTCTGGAATCTTGCCTTGTGCAACTTTCCGTATCGTCCGATGCTGCAACCACGCCTTTAATTCTTTATGCTTGGCAATCGCGAACAGCTTTTGGTCATCCTGAGACAACTCTTTCAACCTCACTTCAGTCCTCTTCTTTCGTTCATTCACGGCTGCCAAGACATATGCGTCTGGTGTGGCAAACTGTCCCTGTTCAACGTCACAAAAAGGTGTTATATCAATTTCCCATTGATAGTTCTGGCAGAAGTGATCCTGAAAATACACCGTGTCACCAAAGAATTCGTCATCGGGGACCGGAACATCAACACCATCCATGGGAACATTTTCACCGGTATCTACAGAACCTATGGTCGGAGCAGTGGCTTCTTCTTCAGGTTCTGGCATTGAATTGGCCTCTTGGACCTCGATTTCTCCAGGCGGAATGCTCGGAGTGTATTCATTTTCGCTGGGTTCCGGAAGATCTTCGGGATCCAGATCAAAAAAGTCCTGGTGGCCAATCTTCCTAGCCCATTCCCTTGTAGGTATCTTAAACTCCTCTGTAT